CGTCGATTGGATACCCTACTTGACTACGCGACTCGTTGACGATGCAGCTTCGCATGTCAGGCTGTATCGACAAGCAAGCGCGAGGATGAAGCAATTACGATCGACCAGGATTCAAAAAGATAGTGCCAGCTCGAGCACATCAGGTGGAACGCCAAAGAAGACGCCGACTCATCGCCGAAACAAGAGCGAGACCGATGTGTCCTGGTATTCGCAGTCGAAATTGTATATACCCAATTTATCGTCGCTGACCGAGCCAATCGAATCGACCGGCGAAGAGAAGGAAGATGAATCGCTGGAGAAGATATTCTTTGATCTCGAGGTGCAGATGGAGAATAATCTGATATGCAGAGACTTAGTATGCACGAACGACACCCAGGAATTGGATTTCCTAGGCGAAATATCCGAGATCCTGTTGTACCTGGTACTACCCAAGGCGGACTTCGATTGTTTGACTGTGAGATTTATTTTAAGGGAACTCTTAGTGAACGTTATAATCAGACCGTTGTTGGATCTGTTTTCCGATCCTGATTACATTAATCAGGCATGTATATGGCTGGTACGTATAACAGCAAAATGTGAAATTCATGGGTGAAATTTGTAGTTGTAAATTCAAAAGCTTCATTAATTTATTTAAATTATTTATTTATTAAAGCTTGTGTGTTTCTAAGAATTGTTATTAACAATGTCATTAAAAAAACTTGTAATATTTATTTCCACGTTTTATCGCATACTTAATAGCGCTAATTTCTTACCTGAATCATATTAATATTTTGATCTTTTTCATTTTAGTGTACCAAGGAGGGTAGTTTACCAAGTGATATCTTTTTAACAGTAATTAGAATAACGGACAATTCAGATGAATTAATGGCGACGAAGAATATAGTTTGTAAAGAAATAGCACACTTACGTTCGAAAGATGCGGGCGGAGATGACGATCTGTCAGTGAAGCAACAATTGAACAGTCTGCTTTACGTGAAAAAAATCCTAGAGGCGAGAATTATCGGTATGCAGGAGGGCTTGGAAACAGAAGCGGATGGGATTGGCGCTCAACCGGAATGGAACAGATTGCTCATACCAGGCCAAAAATTAGTTAACTTGCCGTTAGACGAGTTGCTGAAGAACAATATTGCTCTCAGTTACTTCATCGATTATATGACCTCCATAAATGCGGAAGCATACCTATTCTTTTACCTGAATATCTACGGATGGAAAGTCTCGGCCGAGCAACAAATATCGGACATAGAACTGCAGAAAATCCAAAGTGCACAGTCCGGCGGTTCAGGTATGATCGGCGCTAGGCGCAAGAACGCGGATCTGGATAATCTAAAGGAGGCGGCCATGAAAATTTACCAACAATATCTCAGCGACAAAGCATCGCCCAAACTGCAACTAGACGACACGTTAGTGAAGAGTTTGTTGACCAAGATGAAGACAGAGTCGGTCAAGGAGACGTGGTTCGACGAGCTACGAAACTGCTGCTACGAAAAGCTGCAGAATGAGGACAGATTCCTACCAGGCTTTAAAAAATCGCTAGCTTACGTTAAGTTGCTCGCCGAGCTGGATCTACTGAAAGATCCAGTTTCTGAAGACGATGCAAAATCTTTGGATAGCATAAGCTTGTCCAGTACGAACAACGAATTGGACACTTTGGAAGAATTATCCGAGACGTACGACGCGAAACCTGTTTCGACCGCGAAGGAAGGCACTAAGAAATCGAATTCCTCGACGAGCTTAACAAGTGTAGGAGAGGCAAATGAAGGTAGAACGGCCGACGAGGTTGACGCGGATACGAGTAATCTCAAGGGTGCGAAAAATGCCCATAAAGGATCCGCAGAGATGGAACAAGTCGGCGAGAAGAAAGATGTTTCATTTTATGTGGAAACAAACGTGGAACAATTCATCAAGTTAGACGAAAACAACTACGATCAAAATGCAATCAAGAAACTGCAGCAGGGCCGTTTCGAGATCACTGCCACGATAATAGAAACCGGTATTGTCAACGATCGCGGGAAAACGTACGGCATATATGCCGTAGCGGTTACGAAAAACTATGACTCGGGCTATAAAGAGAAGTGGCACATCTACAGACGATACTCCGACTTCTACGATTTGCATCAGAAGATCAAGGAGAAGTATTATGATTTAGCCAAAATACCTTTCCCCGCGAAAAAGGCTTTCCACAATATGGAGCGTACCGTGTTGGAAAGACGAATGTTGATGTTGAATGCTTGGTTGTGTCAACTAACGAAACCTGCAATCGTCGACGGTCACATGGGACTGCAGAATTTATTATTAGCCTTCTTGGAGCAAGGAGATTATGACAAAGGAGTTACCGGCGGACAGATATCGAGAACGGTAAATTAGATTGCAGAATTTTTTACTTATATAATCAAATGAATAAAATTTTTAATGGAAATTGAAAAAAAATTAATATTATTCTAAAATTCAAATTATAAATATATAATA